GAGGGTAGAGGCATTGTATAAAGAATAGGATAATCGCCATGTAAAAGTTATTGGAGGCAATCGCACCTGACATCTGTTGGTACAATAGGTTATATATCTATGGTACAATACGTCAGATGTTGGAACTCTAGAGCGACAATTCTGTCAAATTAATTTTCAATATAGGTATACCATATTTTTAGTTATTGAGATTAAATATAATTAAAAATTAGTGATTTTTGTGAAGAATCGATAAATAATAGCATTCCACAAGATATTCGTCTAAATTTAGAAATAAATCGAGATTTTAATGAAACTACAACCAAATTGAACTTACCAGTATTACAAAGTAACATTAAATTGTATGTATCAATGACGGAGAGGTAGAGTCCTCGTCTTTGATGGGAGGAGTCTGGAGATCAAACCCACGAGCAAACTTTTTTTTATTTTATTTCATAAATTGATAAAGCTCATAAATTATTTTCAAAACATTAATTTTATGTTAATGACCTATAAATCGTCGTTGTAATAAAATTATAGGTATAAGATCCATTAATTTTTTTTTAAATCCTTGTTGTTTCAAACAACGAAGTTTACGTGAGGGAAGGATGTTGGGTAACACTTCTGGTCCCCAAAATATAGTATAAAAATAATCTATCTATGTTATCTATCCTAGCGCTATAGTTTTAAGCATAGATATAGAGGTTTTAACATGGTTTTAACATGGTTTTAACCCATATTGATCCAAGTACGTACTACAGTTTCTTGGATGTCCAAAAAATGAATGTTAGACCTACCTATTTCCTATATAGCACACATTATTTCAGAAATATTTCAAACGTTTCAAACATATAACATTTCAAGCAGAAGTTTCTGAAATATTTTAGTTAAATATTTAACTGAAAATATTTCTGAAACATGATATAAATGTTACACAAACGGTTACTAAACGGATTGTGCTGTAAAAGGCCAAAACTTAATGAAGAATTTCTGATTTGTAAGAAGAAGATGGGTTCTGTAATAAAGGTATTTTATTTCATCCTATGTCCAGCCGGAGACAACCCCTATATTCTAAATAACTAGAGGTTGTGTTGTCGGTTTTTGCCATTTGCTTTTTTCTTATTTATGCGTAGTGCTGTTGTCATATAAAAAGCAGAATATGTCTTTACAATTTGGGGAGAGTTTATTACAGAAATAATGCTTGGGAGTTAGGTTAGGTTTATTTACTTTATCTCATTTACTGAAACGAGTGACGCCATTTTGTTTATCAAAATTACAGGCAGTTTTAGTCATTTTTATCCAAGTATAACCTACATTTGCTATCCCTCCACGTAGTTTTATTTATTAGTTCTACACATTTGATTGAAAAGCAGAGCTTCAAGTTTTGTTTTGACATGAGTATTGTTTGTTTTATTACAGTCAATTTTAAACAATATTAATAAAACTATTAGGCATTCCAAACAAATGAATTACCAGTGGGCAGGTTTGGTAGAGTGGCAACATATGGTGTATTCTATCTACTTTACGTAAAATCATGAATAATGGATTACATTTAAATATTTTATGTCAAACACAATAAAAATAATATTTAAAAAACCCACCTATACATTTCTTCATAAATTGGCAGGCTTGGCGAGTACTACTTCGAATAAAAATAGCGTCCAAGTTGCAAGACTATGTCGCTACCCCCTTAAATATACAAGAATTTCCCACTGGCACCTACTGGCACCTATTGTTTGACAGGTCGTTGGAATGCCTAATTGTTAATCAAATAATTTGTTTCAGACTCAGATAAACAAATGAAAAATAGATACCTAACGGGCGCCGTTTAACACAGGCTTTGTTTGAAGCCAGTATCTACAAACTTTTGACAGCTGTGGTACTGCGGTCTACATGGGCGTATCAAGTAGTTTTTTCATCGGAATCCGAAGGATTATTTTGTAACGGACGGATTAACGCCCGTATGCACCGTACATGTTTAATCCAGGTTTAATCGCGTTTAGTACCACAGCTGAAAATGGTACTAAACGCGATTAAACCCTTGATCTGGATTAAACGTGTACGGTGCATACGGGCGTTAAAGAAAAATGTAAATCAAACATAAAATTTTATTTTACAAAAAGTAAACTACGCTATTTTTTAATGAAATTTTAAGGAAATAACACGTAATGTAATAGCTTTCTATGTGTTCTAACTTAACTCTTTGATAGGTAGCGATATTTGAGTTCGTGTGTAGATTGTGAAATACAAAAAAAAATAATAATAATAGGGATAGAGGCCATTTTTCGGCGCAATCTATTAGGTTAGGGCATATTATATGTTAAAATGGAAGTCTTCCTTCTGGCATTTTGACAATATGGATACAATAAGTCTAAGTATAATTACATTAAAGTTTATTAATACTACAGCAGATTAGGGTAACCATACATACAGCATTTCACTATATTTGCTGCGTTTGAAAAGTAACCTCTTTTTACTCGAAGCCGTTCTTTTATTATATCTGCGGCTTCTCGATAAGATCTGCTCCGTGGTCTTTTAATGCAGAGCTGGTACGTCTAGTAAGATCTATTTACTCCGAATTAAATTTAAGAGAGAAATATTAATAAAAAAACTTCAGACAGAAATTAGAACATGGTTTATTTTTTAGTGAAAACAAAAGGCGAAAAATATCACAGCTAAAAATTCACTTTACTTTGCAACAAACGCCACTATACGAGAGATCAAATTTGATTTAAAAGAAAGGTTTAAGTGTATTATTTTAATGAAAACCGAAAACAACCAAATCCATAGCCGGTCTTTTATTTCACATAATTTCGATGATCACGTGACTAAAAAATCTAGCTCTACTCCGCTCCAGGAGGTACTTTTTAAACGTAGAAATTGTACAACCCTTTTTACTGAAATGTAACAAATAAGACAAAAGCGTAATACATATGACTTCTCTGTTGTATTAATCTAAAAAAATAGGTCCACCGGTCCTCGACGTGATTTCTCTGTGAATGGTATCTTTGGAAACTTAAAAAAAAAAGTCTTCACCTCACCAAAGTTCATCATCAATGTTGTATTAGCATTGGGCTAAACTAAACATGGTCACATTACAGTAAGTATACCTACCTATATACTGTTGATTTAGGTTTATTCAAAACAAGTTTGATAAACAAGCATACTATTCAATCATTTTCACAAAATCATGTTGAAAAGTTTAGCTAAAAGTAGCTGGTTTACCTTGTTGAATGCCTCGAAAAAGTCCAGTCTCAGTAGGTAATTTGTTAAATCAAATACTAAAAGGATGTCATATGATATATACCAGATTAACGAAAATAAATTCAGAAATACCATGATGGCAAAAACTTAAGCTTTTACGGAAAATTTAAAGTTTTCGAAAACCCCTCTAACATTTATGTTTCGTATCAATATCACATTTATTATTAAAAACATAAAAACAATTTATTGATTTGATGAGTAAGATAAAATGGAGTGGTTTTACCGTGGAGTTCTAGCCTATGAAGATCCAAACATTAAAAATGTTAATACATACGATTTTTGTTAAACAAGTATAATCACAGGAATTAAAGAATTTAATATAACAATAGCAGTGAGTTATTAATATAATTAATTGTACGAATTAAACTTTTATAGGAAATAGAGGGATTTCTTAAAAAAATATAGAAATCAACTAACTAAAATAAATATTGTATACAAAACATGATTCTAAAAACAATAATATTAATAAACGGAAAAAGGTATAGGGCGAAGGTCATCAAGGTAGTAATAGTGGACATTTCCCGAAAAAGAAAAATTACAAAAAAAAGGGAATGTGAACAGTAGTCACGTGTTTCTGACTATTGGTCTTCATCGGTACGGTGGCAATACTAACACAACTATAGGAAAGTAGCATTTCAAGAAAATTGCTGTTAAAATTAACTGTGCATGTTTACATAAAGAAGCAAAATAATATTAATTAATACGCCTTAAATTTGGAATAGAATACAATGTCTGGTGAAGTTGTATTTGAATTTTGTATCTTAACTCAAAATTACGATTTTTTTTGAGTGGCCTTGGGTATTGTGTATTGATGGTGCGATATATTCTTTTTTAATTAGGTACATAACGTAGTATCTCCATTAGTATTGAAACATTAATATATCAATACTTACACAATGGTGTCTGGTGCCGCCTATGTGTTTCATTTACTTACCAATGAAAGGAGGTAGAACCACTCAAAATGTATGTTTTAGAACAAATAATAGACTTCTTAGTCATTTTTACCCTTAAAAGTAATAAATATCGTTTAAAAAATACACTAGAAACTGAAAAACTTTAATAAGGCGTTCTGGGAATATAACACAATTCCCAACTGCTTGTTGACAGTGGTGAGAAAATGTTGGCGCTGCTATTTAAAATAGACGAATCACATCGAAGACCATGGAGAAAGTGAAAGTAATAGATAAAACGGTTCATACTGGATTCAAACAAATCCAGACCGTTAGGCATCTATTATTCATTTGTTTATCTGAGGTTTCAGATTAGTGCATTTAAAAGAATTGGTGGAAATGAAGCGATTTGCCTTTATATTTTATGAAATAATGTTTAAAAATTTATTTATTGGTTTGTTTAAAAATAAATTTTTCTGTTTTGTGTATTTTAAATAAACATGTATATTTTTAAATGTCTTTTTTTTAATCTAATAATACATTATAAACGTTTCGACAACGTTTCTTATTATTCATGAAAAAAATATATTACTATGTAATATTTCTGAAAGATTTAAAATTTTCATTTCAAAAATATTACTGTTAAATATTATATTTACAGGACATTTTTACGTTTCAGGCACAATTCAGAAATGTTTCTGGGACGTTTCCTAATATTTATACAGCATTACAAATATTTCATTGTATCATTTTTAAAATATTTCCGAAATCTTTTTGTGTTGTATTTAAAAATTCTTTATGAATATGAATGTTAGTATATTATTTAATTGTGTTGACGTTCTTTTAAGTGTGAGAAGAAAACACATTTTAGCTAAAATTATTTTATTAATGAATTAACATTTTATGTCATTAAAACTCAAAAATAGGTACGAAAAAATAAAATATCTTTGATTATTAAAAAAAGTCGTTCTATCCTAACCTAACATTTGTTATACATATCTTCATTACCGAAAAAAGTTGACACAGGTACTGGACTGACGGTCACGAAATGATTAGGCGAAAACTCAGGTGGGAAAAACATTTGCGGCATCCCTAGAGGCATAGGCGTAATTGGATTAGGCGACGGAAGCAAAATTGTAGGCGTCTTTCCAATGCCCATAAGATATCCCGGACTTAAATTTATATAAGATGGTCTTGGAGACAAGAAGTATTGAGGAACCATGTGGGGACTTCTCGAAATCATCTCAGCCGGTGTCAGTTTTATTGGCACTGACATTTGAGGTTTGGATTTTTGGTGTCTGGATTTTTTTATGTCGTTGACGGTGTCGTCTAGGTAGTTTTTTATTTTAGGATCAGCTTCATGTTTAAGGAGCAGCAGGAATGCGTTGTTGTCTTCCATAGAAGCTGCGAACATCAAGGGTGTTATACCTAAAAAATATTTCAAATTGTTGTAATATATAGAATTATAATAGAGACCAAAAGCAACCGATTAAATCATTTATTTTCACTTCTAGTGTTACCAACCGTGTCATTTGCGCCTAGAGACTCCAGTTTTGCCGATAAATATCCGGTCTCCAGTTTTGCTAGTAATTTCACTAGGAATAATAATAAATAATAAAAAACTTTATTTATAATAAATAATACATAAAAGACAAAATACTAATAATTATAAATAGGTATATAAAAAAATAAAGTGGTTACTTGTTTGGACAGATAAATATTAATAAAATATAAATAAATATCCAAATACTATTCAAAATTCTAAACCTGGAATGTTGACATAAGAAAAAAATGTAAATATTGGGATAAACAATAAGGATCTCAGAAGAAGGAGTACCGTCAACTGGGGCTACTTTGTCAACCCGGGGTAACTTTGTCACCTCGGACGAACCATTTTGATTTTTCTTTTTCCGTGTTTATTATTATTATTATTATTATTATTATTATTATTATTATTATTTTTTCGGTACCGTTTTTATATTCTTACAGGTGGTACTAACTAAAGAACAATGGTAAGAAAGTATGTGCAAACGCCGGGGTCCCGGAATAATCGAAATTATGTCAAAAATGGCATGTCCAAAAAACAGACAGCTCTTTTGTTTAAAATCCCACTCTTGTAAACAGAACTCTTGAAAGATTTAACAGAAAATGCGGTCGCTCCACCAGTGTTGCCAGAGGCCTTCAAAGAATTGTACAGATCCCAGGACAAAATTGTACCAGATTTTAAACGATTGTACAGATATGAAATATGTATGTAAACTAATTGCTTATTAATAAATTTGGCAAACTACATGTTCATTCTAAATACCATTGTTAAAGTTGTTATGGACGCGACTTTGTTAGTTTGCAATGCATTTCATTTCGACTATACCTATTCATAGAGATAGATGAAATAAATTTCATTGAAAAATTGAGAAAATTTCGTTGAAAAAAAAATAGACAATTTTTACCCACAAATTCTCGTTCATGTAGACTTTGCTAAGGAAGTACTTTTTTTACTTCGTCGTAAAGAATATCCATTTTATCCATGATAAGTCATGAACAGAACCAAAGAAAAACACCAAAATTTAAATTCAAGCTTTATTTCGGCCTGCGGAGGAACATCTGGGGGATTACTTTCTAGGGGGTCATTTTTATGTTTTATAGAATATATCTGTTATTTATGTTTAGGGAAGAAAATGCTTTAAATAAATTACTTCTTAGTTCTAATATTATTTTCTATAATTTTTGTCTTGAACAAAATTTTCCTAAAATGGCCCCTATTCGAGAAAGTAAAAAAAACATTTTTTTAAGAAAATTGTTCAAATAAAAGTTGTTTGTGATATAATTCTCTATAATTCTTGTTCCATATATAATTTCTCTAAAATGGACCGTATTCGGGATATTTGAAAAAAAGTATAAATTTCGAATTTTTAAGAAAACTCAAAAACGGATAAAGAGAATTTTAAATTTAAGCCTTATTCAGGGCTGCGATGAACTGACTAGATTTTTGGCAGAGTCGGAATATTTGGGAGAGGGGGGAACTTTATAGGGGGTCGTTTTTATATTTTATGGAATATATCTGTTATTTACGTTTGGAGACGAAAATTCTTCAAATAAAAGTTACTCCTAATATTATTCTTTATAATTTTTGTAACAAAATTTTTTTAAAATGGTCCGTATTCGAGAAATTAGAAAAAATGTAAATAATTCTAATTTTTGGGAAAATTGTTAAACTAAAAGTTGCGATATCGATCTCTATAAGTTCTGTTTTATACATGATTTCTCTAAAATGGACCGTAATGGAAAAATTGAAGGAAAATGTAAAATTTTAATTTTTCAGTATTTTTGTTGGCAATGAATATAAACTGCTGGCTCTACTCGAACTTATAGATTTTTAGGCAAAATTTAAAGTTCAGTATTTTCAACACATGATTTTCCTATCTAGTTGTTACATGCTTTTTCCGATTATTTTGTACAACCTATTGTAGCACATCTGTAAATGTTTAGATGATAAACTAAATACATACATTTTTCACATATTCGAATAATTCTTTTAATATATATACGCACTTGTACATTATCTCCAATGAAGACCATCTAGTTTGACTAATTCTTAACAATTTGTGGGGTTCCGTGTCAATACATTCTTGAAATTCTTTATAAACAGTAAGCCTTTTTGGACTTTTCCGTATATAGTTGTATATGTCTTGAACAAACTCCTCTACTGTAGAAGGTATTTTTTTATCGTTCTGATGCACATCGATGTAAGGAGTGACATATACAATCAAGAACAAAAATATTTAAATTAACTTTTTCTTTAAGTTTTGCTTGCGCCCCGTCTCCTATCTGCCCCATCATAACAGAAACGTTATCTGCACCGAAACCAATAACATTATGGTAATTAATTTAAGATTTCTCCAGTAAATCCAAAATGGCTTTAATGAGACCATCTGCAAAGCAATGGGGCATGTTCAAAAATTTTGAAATTTTTTTTATGAATAGTAGAGTTAAAAATAAAACTACATTTTTTTTATTTTTTTTTTATCTATTCATTTGCCGGAGTTATGAATTTTTTAAAAATTTATGACGTCACCGGGAATAGACCAATAGGAGCTAGCGCACAACGTTGCCGGCTAGAAGGTTTACGAGAAGTGATGTACGTTCGTTTGTGTACTCCTTCTTACTTTTAGACTTCTAAAACATCGTTAAACAAATATCTTTTAAATATATAATATCAAATGTGTTTTGAAAGTATTATTTCTGTTTAAACTTTTACCATATTTAACGTTTCATTGTTTTCAAAGTCACTTAATAATTCAGAAAATGGCAAAATGGCAGCACTGTGTATGGCAGCACTGTGTATGGCATCTGTCATCATAGTGTCTCGATCAAGAATTTATTTGGAATTTGAGTGTTTAATTTTGTACTTTTTATAAATATTATGACTACGAAAAAGTGTTTTGTTCCAGAATGTGATAATGATTCACATTCATTTTCAAAAATATTTATTAGTGTTCCTAGAAATTTGGAAAGAAGAAAATCAACCTTCTACTAGCGATGTTTCTCGTAAACTTTTTAATAAAAATACACCGGATTATCAAGATATAGCAGCAATTTCTGCTAATTGTCCCCTTCAGGAAATTGAAAATTAGGCTACTATAAATTCTTAGGTGAATAACCTAAAAACCCTTCTGGAAGAAAATGCAGAATCTCCTGAAAGTTTTGAAGATACCGAATTTATTCTTCATTTTGTGGAAGAACTAGTGATAAAGAAATAATAGAAAAATGTGGGTATTTAAACAAACTGGTTCCTGGATCCCATATAATGGCAGATAGGGGTTTCAGAATATTCAGCTACTTGAAAACATGGGATGCACTTTAGTGAAGCCACACCTAGTGTATCACAGAATGAAAAAAGTTCTCCAGAAGATGTACAATTAAGTAAAAGAATCGAGAAAAGAATAGCATCTCTAAGAATACATGTGGAAAGAGTTAGTTAATTTAATTTAACATGTTAAAACCACATTCGTGTGTGAATTTTAAGCAAGTACATTTACTTAGTAATATCTGCATAATTGCTTGTTAACTTACAAGAACCTATTTTGTAAGAGTAAATATTAATTTAATAAATTTTTTTTGTTTGTTTTTTTAATTTAATTTACCTAATTATCACATTTCAGGGATTATAATGAGTTTTTAAACAGCCAATGTAATTTTTTATAAAATTTTAACTTTTCGAACAAATCAAAGAGGAATGAGTACCTGTATATGCATAGATTTTTTGGGACTAAAACTACCAAAACAAAGGCACCTATTTACAGCAGTTTAAAATGAAACAATTTGACAAAAACGCCTATGTCACAGTGATAAATATTAAAAACAACCAAGTTCAGTTGAATGTGGTAGCAAAGTCTATATATTCCAATAAATCGGGTAACTACATGTGGTATCACTGTTGATAAATTTAAAAATATCACAATTCTTGCCACCTTTTTCAAAAAACCAGAAAGTGTGCCTTCATACCAATCCTTTATGAAAATGACAACAGTGATAAATGTGAAAAAAAAAAAATTTAATGTTGCTATTCATTATTACGATAGTAAAACATGTTTGCAGTTCCGTTTATTTGTTATGAAAATCTAAGTAAAAACAACCAATGTCAAAGGGTTATAATTTTTTTTCTGTCGAACCAAATATATCACAAAATTTAAAAATTGATCATAGGTCAAGCTAAAGTAATATCTTTATTGATACTAGCTTTAAAAAAGGAGAAAGAATAATATTGACTTAAGTTATTATTATTAACATTGGTGATTTTTAATAAAAACTCTTCAATTATTGTTTACAAACAAAAATATAAAAATCTGTGAAAATTTTATTTATTAACCTTTTAATAAAAAATGAGAAAAATGAAGTAAAAAAACAATTTATTTACAAATAAAAAATATATACAAATCCTAAGAATATAAAAGTACTGATATATTTTCCTGTAGTGGATGAAGAGGTTTCTTTAACAATCTAGCCAAGTGTACATCAATATTTACGCATTTTGATAAATTAGAGCCTTTCCAATAACACTGAGTAGATGTTACAGATGGTTCCTCACTTCTTCTATGAAGCCACATATTTACAACCAACTGAAAAAAATAAAAGGGTAGATATGCAGTTACAAAATAACTATATAACCAGCTACAAAATGCCTTTATTTTATGTAACAAGACGAGTAGAGCTTTACTAGCTCTGAACGAATCCAGTAAAGAACCTCGGATTTTCAAAACTTAAAAAAAAAACAACCTCACCACATTTTCACATTTTTGAAATATTATAGAGCTTTTCAAAAAAAACTGCTATTTTTAAAAATACAATTTTTTGTTTAAACAGCTATGTCTCATTTTAGGCTATTGAGTATTATAAAATAAAAAATTACGGGATGCTTTGTTAGCTTCAAACGAATCCAGCAGAGCACCCCAGTTTTTTTTTAAACCACACCACGTTTTTTGGCTCCTACAATATTATAAAATATTCGAAATTTGGCATTTTAAAAAAGATTCGCAATTCCTTGCTGACTTCTAAAAACAAATGTACTTACCACATTTTTAGGATTTTAAAACAGCCTAAACATGTGTCATAAGTAGTTGTTTTTATATATATATATATAAAAAAAAAACAAATTAAAAAACTGAAGTGTCCTGCTGACTTTGTTCCAACAAAGCACCCTGTATTATTTAAAAATAGCAATTTTTTTAGTAAAGTTTTACAATATTTCAAGAGTCTAAAAATATTCTAAAAATGGGGTGTGGTTTTTGAAAAAAGCTTTAAAAAAACCGAATTGCTCTGCTGGCTTCTTTCGAAGGTTAGCAAGCACCATGTATTTTTAAAAATATAATATTTCAAGTTGCTGTTTTTACAGAAAAAACTTTATAAAACAGAGGTGCTTTGCTGACTTCATTCGAAGCTATAGAGCATTTTAAGTTTTGCAAAAAACGAGGAGCATAAAATTTTTGAAAAGGGTATAAAAATAGCCTATTCTTTGGTATCATAATTATTACTAGGTTCACTAACAAAATCTGTTTCTAGATTATTTTAACACTTGCTGCGATTACAAAAAATGTCTATATGTCAAAATTAGAAAAAAAATATTTATAGTAATAAAGGGCCTTATACACTGTTTATTATATGTAATATAAAAACAAAAAAGCATAATAAATATTACAAACCTTCACATGCAGCATATTGTGCACTAAAATTTTCATTTTTGTTAATTACAACAACATCAGAAGGTTTTTGCCGTACTTTATGTTTAGGTGTAATTTGTCTCCTTGTCTCTTATGGAAAAAGAAATTATCCCCATATTCTTGCTTGGCAGATCTAAAAATAAAACCTGAGATAAATACGTTTTACTTGCTCCATATAAACTGTAACTACCTACTATTAAAACAAAGTCTTACCTTTCTAACTTTTGTAAACTGAGTATTGTTAAAAAATGCAGTAATCATCTCGGTAATCATATTTTCGTTTACAATGGGTAAAACACTTGATTCAACTTTTATAAATCCAGCTGATTCATATTAATAATAAAATTAAACCAAAACCAGGGCTGGATACCAGCCCTGACCAAAACAAAAAACTAAGGTTAGGTGCTGTCAATTTTAATGTCACTTAGATGTGCGTTCACTTCGACATTCTGTGTGTCGGTTTGTTCGTTGGCTTGGTTTTGTATAACAAAAAAAACTTCGACACAAGATGATTGGTCTATTCCCGATGACGTATAATTTCAAATTTTAAATTTCAATTGGGCTTAATTTAAAAACTTTTGGCTTTTTTAACGAACTGACTATTTAGAATAACTTGTATAGCGACTAACTATTACAATATAATTTATAAAACAGCATATCTCACATGTGAACATGGCCCATTCTTTACCTCTACCAGTGACAATAACTGGTCTTTAATGGAACTTTGGTTTATATCTACCTACAAAACGGCACAAAATTGCCAAACATTTTTTTGTAGAGATGTCTGTTGTTTCATCTACTATTTAGTTAGTTTTGAAAGAGTAAAACCAAATTTGGTAGATTTTCACACTTTTATTTTAAAAATAAAAATTTTTAAAAAACACTAACATGACATATGTTTCGAAGTACAACTTCTTTTTCAAATGTGACTATTTACAATTCGGTATCCAATATATATACGAAATAATTTAACAAAACAAAGTACTTAAGAAAACATCAATAACATTACAAAATAAACTAACTATTTAAAGTAAATAAGGGTACTTAGGTAATTATAATATCCATCAGATAACAATAAGATAGCCCATTACCGGGATTATCTCACAGAAAACTGGGAAAGAGATTTAATAAGGGTGAATTATTAATATCTAATTGATCATTTAGTAAGTTATCTGAATTTTTAAATCTATTTATTTCAAGTGTTTCTAAATGGTTTAATTTAAGGCTCTTATTTTCTACATGTAAAATTTCAAAGTTGTCTGTAAAAGAATGATTTTCAGCTAAAATATGATTTGAGTAAGTAGAATTATTTTTGTTTTTTGTATAGCTATTATAATGTTCGGAATAGCGTTTTTTGAAAGTACGGCCTGTTTGACCAATATACAATTTTGGACAACTACCACAATTTAATTTATATACCCCCGATTTATTATTAGGATTAATTTTACCCTTATTGTTTTTAATATACTTCCCAAGCGTATTATTGGTTTTAAAAGCTACGTTAATATTTTGGTTTTTTAAATATGATGATACCTTTTCACTAGGAGCTCCTATATATGTAAGACTCTAGTACTGCACGGTTGAATAGAGAATAAAACCCCCTTTCTAATGAGCTATCACTCACCACCCCATGCCATTTAAATTTTTCGAAAGGGTTGCTACCCTCCAGTAAGGGATGAAATTAAGGGTAAACTAATCATGCAAAAATGTACATTGTAGAAATCAAAAATCGACCTGTCTCGGCGATTTTCCTAACAAGACCCCAGTAACGAGTTAGTTAGGGGGGGTAAGACTTATGATGTTCACTGTATAAAATTTACTGTAAACCTAACAACCCCAACAAATAATAATACGATCCTATCCATTTTTTACAGTAAAATACTTATTTTTCTTTTGCTACAGATTTAAAAACATTTTGAAATTTATCGATATTTATGGTAAATGCATTGATATTTATTTTGAAAAATTCGTGCCGTCAGATCAATGTTTAAAATTGTACAAAATGTACCAGAAATATTATAAATGTACTTTTGTACAAACGGTCTCAAAATGTACCATATCTGTACAATTGTACCAGTTCTGGCAACGCTGCGCTCCACTATTTTATCTCAGCAGAAGCAGCAGGTGATTGCAGATACGCTTGCGCAAGTTGCCAACTGGGGCTTCCCATTAACCAAAGTGGATATTCGCGCAGTAGTTAAAAAATACTTGGGTAAACAAGGTAGAGTAGTGCGGGTGTTTAAAGACAATTATCCAGGGGAGAATTTTGTAGCCAATTTCGTAAAACAGAACAACCTATCGGTGCGGATGGCTACAAACATAAAGCGTGCGCGATCATCCGTGGACTAAGCCGATGTGTTAGAATTTTTTAATAATATAAAACATGTTCTTTTAAATGCAAACCCTAAAAACATATACAACTATGATGAAACAAACATAGTAATAATACCAAGGAACTTCAGGAGGGTTGAATGGGTCCAGAACTATTTACGCTCTTGCACTAGCATAATGGTGGCTGGAAATGCAGCTGGTCAATTATTGCCACCAATGCTGGTGTACAAGAGCGGCAATTTGTGTGAAAATTGGTGCACAGGTGGTCCTTCTGGAATTATATACGAAAATAAAATTTCAGGCTGGTTTGACATGAACCAGTTTGAAAAATGGTTTTTTAAAGGGCTGCTACCGCATGTTCAATCACCACGAGAAGCAGGAGAACAAACAGTGGTTATTGGTGATAATTTAGCGAGCCATTTTGTCACTACCGTTATACAAACTGCCAAAGAAAGCAATATTTATATGTATCCATTCCCGGCTAACGCGAACCACCTAATGCGGCCTCTAGATGTGGCTGTTTTCGCCCACTTAAAAAAAAGTTGCGAGAAATTTTAGAACGGTAGCGAAAGGAGAGCCGTTATACAGACACCTTGCCTAAAGAACAATTCTCCCCGTTACTTGCAAAGCTATGGAATCAGATCAATGAAAGCGTTGACAAAAATCTCGTCTGGGTTTCGGACCACAGGCTTACATCCCCTGGACCCAAACGAAGTTTTAAGAAAAATCCCCAAAGCTTTACCTACAAGTGAAGAAGTTTCTCGCACTTTTGACGCCAGTCTGGTCGACATGTTAAATGAAATACGGGGCACATCAGACGAACAGAAGAAACCCAAGAGAGGAAAGAAGTTTAAGCCTGGGCCAAAAATAGACAAAGAACCTACACAGGTAGTTACGCAGGATACACCTGAAGACATATTATGGAATGAGGAAGACGAATTGCCTTGTTTTGTTGCTCAACCCGGGTGTCCTGATGAAAACGTCAATGTCAGTGCTTCGACATCCGGTGTTCCTTTGAAAAAAAAAATACAAAACCCGCTCCTAAGCGGCTAGACCAATAAATATTACGAAAAAAGCTTTAAGAAATCGCGACAAACATTTTATATGTAATGTGGTGAAAAAATATATATTTTTCATTTTTAATAAATTAAACACGTTAACTAGTTTTCATTGGTATTTATGTTCCTTTTTACTATAAATTTTTTTGTGATGTAGTGAAATAATTTTTTTTTCACTTTTACTAAATATAAACACACTTAAAGTTTTGCATTTTGTTTTCCTGCTCACGATAAGTTCGTTGATATATTAGTTAAAGAAAGAACTTAAAAAAAAAACCACACATATAATATAAACCAAATAGTTTTATTTTGTCCAATATTCTAAGTACGGACCTATTTCCGCGCATTCTCGCTAATCCCAAAAATAAAAGGATGACGGGTCACTACAATAAATTTTTATGGTTTATTACATAACCTATCTCCTAACACTAGATCTGTGTGTGAAGTAGATCAAGAACGAACACACTCAAATTTATTAATCGACAATGTAAAAAAGGCCATTTTTTGGAAATTTCTGGCAAAAATATACATTTGGCATCTATGTCAACAAAAACTTATAGCAAATATAAGAAGTGTAGTGTAAAACACACGTCGATATCTTTTTCCATTATTAATCAACTTTCGTTACTGTAAAGAAAAAAAATTGTAAAAAAAGAACAAACCTGTACTGGGTGTTGCACCATTTATGTCAAATTTTTGTAGAATCAAATATTGCAAAATGTCATGATTTCTGAATAAAATTGACAACGATAAAGGAGACAGTATTCTTTGCATAATTCTCTTAGAAATGCCTCCCTCGAGCAAATGTTCTAATATCATTTTTACAATTTCTAAGCTGCCTCCTGCAATGCTTATTAAAAACACGGACATTCCTGAAACAAAAACACAAATTAAGTGTCAATGAAAAAAATCATCTACCATAGAAATATATTGGTTATTATTTTTATATTTTTACAATAGCGTGGGTACCGAGAGAGCCGTGTAAAGCAGCCCCCCCCCCCCCTCTCCAAAATTCTAAAATTTAGTAATGAAATATCCATATTCTCAATTATAATCGGTATTTTTAAGAAAGAATGAAGCTTAAAATTAATACTACACATTGTATTTGTAATCTATTTTTGGATGGTCCCTTAACCCGAGACGATTTCTGGGAAACCAAAACATCATAAACCGGGCGGTCGACAGAAAAGGGTCGTTCAATCAGTGGGACAACTATTTGGATAAACAGATTATCGAACACCGTTGAGGAATGCAGTCGATTTCTTTGTTAAGACTGTGTTATTCCATTTGTTTTAATAATTATTATTTTTGTAACGTTATTTTAATATTAATAAACTTCATACGTAAAATAAACATTTAATTATTTGTGTAGTTTACATATTAATAAACTACTAAGCGACCAGTTTCGGTCTTATTGGAACATCTTCAGGCCTATAATACAAAGAAGTTTCATCATAGAAAAAATAAAATTTTAGTTTTAAAAGTGAGAAGCGCTTGACCACCGATTAACCATTTTTGACCACCCAGAAACTTTTTTGAGCACCCTCAGAAAAAAACTAAACACCGAGTGCTTATTGCCCTTAAAGTTAATATTTTTTAAAAATGCATAAACGATAGGATTGAATTGAAGTACGTTTTACCATGCTTAATCACACATTATATTTTTTCTACACCCACATGGATATTCTACGCACAGACTACAAAACAAAAAAGTAAGCCATTACGTTCAACTAAACGAATATTTTTCATATCCATTCTACCCAGAACAGTTCATATTTTGGTGACACGGCTACTATTATTTTTAAAATTTTATATAATTGACAATTCTGCCAAACTAATTGTCAGTATATTTTTTAGTTATTGAGATTAAATATACGTAAAAATTAGTTATTTTTGTGCAGAATCGATAAATAATAGCATTTCTATTTTTATTTCGTCTAGATTTACAAATAAATCTTAAATTTTAATTCAACTATATGAAACTAATTTAATTACGAGTATTAAAACTAAAATCTAAAGTGTGTCTATGGAGGTGAGGACACAAAGTTTGTCTTCTACGCGAGAGGCCATGTTCAAATCTGGGCTTAAAATTATTAAAATTTAATTTTTTAAATTTGTATATTTTCGTTAGCGGGTCGTAGAAAAAATATACTTGAGTGGCTTGTCCATATCCACCATTGTTGCACAAACTACTATTTTTAACCAACACAAAAAATAATTTCAGAAGGTTAAACCATTGTATAAACAACTAAGAACTATAGTAGGACAATCGCCATGTAAAAGTTATTGGAGACAATCGCGCCCGACATCTATTGGTACAATCATTGAACTAACGATTTTATTTACTGGTTAGATACGCCCTCTACGTCAGAGTGACAATTCCGTCAAATTAATTGTCAGTATAATATATTTTTTTAGTTATTTAGATTAAAAAATATAAATAAAAATTAGTGATTCTTGTAAAGAATCAATAAATAATAGCATTCCACAAGATATTCGTCTATATTTAGAAATAAACTAAGATTTTAATGAAACTAAAAGCAGTCTGATTATCAGCGTTAAGAAGTAAAACTTTTTCATAAGTTTTCATAACGAAAATTTAGAGTACTTGTCTACGAATCGAAGGGTTCCGAGTTCAAACCCCCGAGTGGACACTTTTTTTTTTATTATTTAATTTTATTTTCTAAATTGGTAAAATTTAAATTAATTTCAAAACATTAATTTTACGTTAATGACATCTAAATCTTCATGCTCAAATTTCGTCTTTTTGCTATGGCCACTCGGGATCATCAAATTATAATAGAATATTATAAGGTCCGGTAATTTTATTTAAATCTTTTGACAATGAAACTAAAAATGTGTGTGTCTAAAGGAGAAATATACCGAAAATAACAAGTATTTAAATTTTGCTAATAAATTTGTATTAGGTATGTGTTAAAAGAAAATACATCATTTTGGATTTGAATATACAGTGTATCGCAAAATGTCTGCACCAAGAAAACGCACAAAATTACATTTTTCTTTAATCTACGTAAAAAAGTGCGAATTAAAATTTTTTTACTGAAAATTTATGGTACCTAACAGGGTTATTCATTATAAATTACCCTCCCTTTATGCTATAATTATTATTGTTGATATATAAATTCCTGACGTCATAAAATTTATTATCTAAATTGAGCAATACTGGGGTGGTGAAGTGTCTGGAAATCAAAATTAAAGTGAAAATCAAAATGTCGGGGTTTTTGTTGAATTTGTTTTGAAAAAGATAAAATAAACCAGAATATATAAAAAGGTAAAAAGAGATTTTATTGCAAAGTTTAGAGAACAGATAGAGCAGTGAGAGGAATCGAGGCAGACAGAGGAAACCAGCAGTCTAAAAAAATAGACAGTAAGCAGAGGAGACAAGGAATTAAACATAAAAGAAAGGTAGTGAGAAGTTTTAATTTTAATATAAGAGGATTTAATTTTAGTATAAGAGGAAAGTGTAGCAAATAACAGAAGTAGCAGGTTGGAGTACAGAGAACGAGCAGGAGTAGGAGAAACAGGAGAAGCAGTAGAAGTAGGAAAAGCAGGGCCCCTAAGAAGAAACATTCAAAATTTTTAGTTTATTATAATAAATTTAAATTTAAATAAATTTAAATAAATTTAAATAAATTTAAATAAATTTAAATAAATTTAAATAAATTTAAATAAATTTAAATAAATTTAAATAAATTTAAATAAATTTAAATAAATTTAAATAAATTTAAATAAATTTAAATAAATTTAAATAAATTTAAATAAATTTAAATAAATTTAAATAAATTTAAATAAATTTAAATAAATTTAAATTAATTTAAATAAATTTAAATAAATTTAAATAAATTTAAATAAATTTAAATAAATTTAAATAAATTTAAATAAATTTAAATAAATTTAAATAAATTTAAATAAATTTAAATAAATTTAAATAAATTTAAATAAATTTAAATAAATTTAAATAAATTTAAAAATAAATTTAAATAAATTTAAATAAATTTAAATAAATTTAAATAAATTTAAATAAATTTAAATAAATTTAAATAAATTTAAATAAATTTAAATAAAATTTAAATAAATTTAAATAAATTTAAATAAATTTAAATAAATTTAAATTTAAATAAATTTAAATAAATTTAAATAAATTTAAATAAATTTAAATAAATTTAAATAAATTTAAATAAATTTAAATAAATTTAAATAAATTTAAATAAATTTAAATAAATTTAAATAAATTTAAATAAATTTAAATAAATTTAAATAAATTTAAATAAATTTAAATAAATTTAAATAAATTTAAATAAATTTAAATAAATTTAAATAAATTTAAATAAATTTAAATAAATTTAAATAAATTTAAATAAATTTAAATAAATTTAAATAAATTTAAATAAATTTAAATAAATTTAAATAAATTTAAATAAATTTAAATAAATTTAAATAAATTTAAATAAATTTAAATAAATTTAAATAAATTTAAATAAATTTAAATAAATTTAAATAAATTTAAATAAATTTAAATAAATTTAAATAAATTTAAATAAATTTAAATAAATTTAAATAAATTTAAATAAATTTAAATAAATTTAAATAAATTTAAATAAATTTAAATAAATTTAAATAAATTTAAATAAATTTAAATAAATTTAAATAAATTTAAATAAATTTAAATAAATTTAAATAAATTTAAATAAATTTAAATAAATTTAAATAAATTTAAATAAATTTAAATAAATTTAAATAAATTTAAATAAATTTAAATAAATTTAAATAAATTTAAATAAATTTAAATAAATTTAAATAAATTTAAATAAATTTAAATAAATTTAAATAAATTTAAATAAATTTAAATAAATTTAAATAAATTTAAATAAATTTAAATAAATTTAAATAAATTTAAATAAATTTAAATAAATTTAAATAAATTTAAATAAATTTAAATAAATTTAAATAAATTTAAATAAATTTAAATAAATTTAAATAAATTTAAATAAATTTAAATAAATTTAAATAAATTTAAATAAATTTAAATAAATTTAAATAAATTTAAATAAATTTAAATAAATTTAAATAAATTTAAATAAATTTAAATAAATTTAAATAAATTTAAATAAATTTAAATAAATTTAAATAAATTTAAATAAATTTAAATAAATTTAAATAAATTTAAATAAATTTAAATAAATTTAAATAAATTTAAATAAATTTAAAAATAAATTTAAATTTAATTTAAATAAATTTAAATAAATTTAAATAAATTTAAATAAATTTAAATAAATTTAAATAAATTTAAATAAATTTAAATAAATTTAAATAAATTTAAATAAATTTAAATAAATTTAAATAAATTTAAATAAATTTAAATAAATTTAAATAAATTTAAATAAATTTAAATAAATTTAAATAAATTTAAATAAATTTAAATAAATTTAAATAAATTTAAATAAATTTAAATAAATCTAAATAAATTTAAATCCCATAGTAATGGGAAAAATTTCCCGAAACGCGTCGGATGATTTTCTTTGGGGGACATCTTTTGACGTATATTTGAGGCTTGAACGAACAACCCCCTATGAGGGGGCGCTTCAACCCCTCAAAATTGAATAGGGAAGAGGGGTTGAGTGATACTTCATTTGTAAGTCTTACAACGGTGTATAAAAAATAACATTCTTAAAAAAACATGAAATGTGATAAACACCTTCTAAGAACAAAAAGTGAAGGCAAGATAAGAAAATGTTTTGATTTTTTTTTTATTTATTAGTTCGAGAGAATTTATTATTGTATGGAAGTCAATGGAGGACAATTTAAACATTTGATTTAAAAACGCAGTTTTGATTTTTTTTTGATTTTAAGCATGATAAAACAATTAATTTTTTTTAAGAATGTGATTTTTTTCATACACCGTTGTAAAAAGGCTTCCAAGACCTTACAAATGAAGTACCACTCAACCCCTCTTCCCTATTCAATTTTGAAGGGTTGAAGCGCCCCCCCATAGGGGGTTGCTCGTTCAAGCCTCAAACATACGTCAAAAGATGTCACCCAAAGAAAATCATCCGACGTGTTTCGAGAAATTTTTCCAATTACTATTGGATAAGAGATGGAACACCCTGTACAGTAAAATGTCTCTAAGAAATAGTATATAAATGATGTAGAAAAAAATGTTTGAATATCATGTTTGTCTAATTATTATATTAGTGTTTAATATGATTAATATGTTCTAAAATAAATTACTTTTTAAATCACCCTGTATATAGTAAAATATGCCTAAGAAATAATGTATTGTAATATGTTCTAAAATAAATTAATTTTTTAAATCACCCTGTAGAAATAATGTATAACTATTGAAATATGTTTGTCCAACTATATTAGTGTTAATTATGTTATGATTGAGATGTTCTAAAATAAATTAATTTTTTATAGTCCAATTAAATAACGAAAAAAAGCCCCTTCGAGCTTACATTAATTTGTAATTGGATTTTGATGTGATCTTTCCGAAAAAAAGAAAAAAAAGATGTAGCAGTTTTTCAATTTTTTTTAAATTAGGAAAAACCGGGTTTTCCAGAATTTTCCATTGTAAAAATGCTAATTATCATAGTATCATAGTATCATAGTATCATAGTATCATAGTATCATAGTATCATAGTATCATAGTATCATAGTAAAAATAAATGCACTATTCGAAAGATGAGGCAAAAATAGTTCGGAAATTCATTGCCCAGGTAGTTTTAATTGCGAATTTCTCGCCGTCAGAAGTGCTTTTACCAAAAAGTCGTTTTTTCGTTTTTTTGATCAGAACCATGGACATGAAATTTGCGATGAATTTGTGGCGAAATTATAAATGTTAGACATATGTGCCCATGAGAGAAGTTGCGTATTTTTTTGTTGGCTCTCAAATAAAATAAGTTCCGCGGCGAAATCTGACATAATTTTTCGGGAATTCGCAGGAAACCAGAGGCGTAGTTTTTTTTAAATTTTTTCCCATATGATTTTTTCCGGGTTTTCCGAAAACATCTAACAAAAAAAATATATTTGAAAAAACTAACTTCGCCATCGAAAAGAGCACAAAACAATACACAAAAAGGTATACTTTAAAAATGTTAGGAAATTAATCCTAAGCCTGAGTTTAAGTTCCAACTTGGTGATAAGCTTGCTTTTTGTTCGTTAATATCTGGTAATTCTATATTTTGCACAAAACTCAAGAAACGTCTTATAACAAGTCAGTAAAATACAATTTAATAAATTTTAAGCCTAATAAATGTAGATATGTAAGAAATTTAAAACTGGAAATCGCAAAAAAATCAAATTACAGTATTGTAGTGTATACACGAGATTTGGATCCCGCGGAGCGCATGTAATGGGACTTTTGTCGGGAGAATTCTACAACTTAGAAGAAACATACACACTTTAAACTTTGTATACACATTTAGAAGACATGAAATTTGGGTTTGTTTAATTTTCAGACAAAAAAACTAAAAATTGTCAATTTTAGGCAACTTTTCTCAAAAACCGTGTTTTTTGGTCGTCACTCAATGAACAGTGGTCAAAAAAATAGATAAAATATATTTGCAGAATTTTTCGTAATGGAATCGTATTTTAGACACAATAGAGTACTCAAAAAAAAAGTTTTGAACCATTGGGTGCATTTTTGGCATTTTTGTGCCACTTCAAACTTTCGAAAAAAAAAAAATTTTTTTTTAAGGAAAAAAAAAAATTATTTAATTGTTTGATATCTTAGCCAATTATGGTCCGATGTCGGTGAAATTCACACACACATAAGATTTCACATTTAAGAGTAAGCTTTGTAAGTTGCATTAAAAAAATTCAAATAGTTTGGCCGTTATAGGCAAACAATGAAATTAGGACCGCGGTGCATTTTGCCCTTCCGCCATATACCCAATTTTGGGATTTCTCTTGCCCCCTTCTGGGAATCACTAGTCACATCCCTTAAGTTCAAAACGCATTTTTGTTTTTTCAAATATCTTAATTTTTAATGTTATAAAGAATTTAGTGTTTGAACATTTAACAAATTCAATTTTTCGACCTTCGTCGCCTCAAAATACTAAACAAATTTCAATCGTCTATACCGCGAGAACGGTGCATCGGATCAAAATTACTCAAGAGACATAAAAATTAGAATTTTTCCTAAGCTTTCAAATGTCGTAAACTGCGTTTTAAAAACATTGATTTATTTCCGACATGCGCCTGCGCAAAATTGCAAAATTGACAAAATCCAAAATTTCGGCACTTTCGAAAAACTGCTACATTTTGTTTTGCCGTTTTTCGAAAAGATCACCTCAAAATACATAGAATCCATTTTGTTTCATCTAATTACAATTTAATGTAAGCTCAAAACCCGTAATTTAATTCGATTATTAAATTGCATTCGATCATGGATTGGCTACTTCTCTTATACGACCCTAGTTTCTTATACGACCCTAGTTTGTCTGCAGGCGAGTTTAATGATGAGATTAAAGTAAGGCAATTTAGTTCGTAAATACCTTTCTTATCTCCAGGCGAGTTTATGTGCACCCCAAAAAAGACAAGTTTTCGATCGAATTTCAACTTTGAAAAAATTATCAATTGTCAAAAGGGCTCAAATGAAATCCAAAAAGATTTAGAATTATATATCAAAGTTCGATCAGCCCCTTAAATATTTCTGCAGATCACAGAAGTGATGAAAATTCGAAAAATAAATGTTTTAAAAACTATTTTCAACTTGGAAAAAAGTATCAATCGTCAGGAGAGTACAATAAATATCACAAAGGTTGAAAATTAAGTTTCGACGTTTCACCACCCCCTAAAATAAGTCTAAATACCCCAAAGAGCAGAACGAAATTTCGATGGACAGGAGGATACAATAGAAATTCAAGAAAGGTTAGAATTATGTTTAGACGTTTGATCACTCCATAAAATAAATAAAAGGACCTCAAGGAGTGTGAAAATTCGAAAAATACAATTTCCAAACCGAATTTAAAAAAAAGATTAATGGAAAGAAGGGCACAATGACGATTCCAAATAGCTCTATATTTGACATTTGACCACCCCTTAAAACAATTCTTAGAACCCCAAAGTGGGTGACTATTTTTTCCAAGTCAAAATTCGGTTTGAAAATTGTATTTTTCGATTTTTCACCATCATTGTAACATTCAAAATTATTTTACGGTGTGGTTAAATGTCTAAACATAATTCTAAACTTTTTTCATCTTTGTTGTGCCCTTCTGACGATTGACCATAGTCAAAAATCGATCTGAAAATTATATTTTTCCAATTTTTTCACTTTTTGCGTTCTTTTCAGGGGGTAGTCAGACGTAGAAACATGATTCTATGCCTTCCTGGTGATTAAGAATTTATATTTGTTGATGTTTCACACTCCTTGGGTTCCTTAGAATTATTTTAGAGGGTAGTCAAAATATAAATTCTAAACATAAATTGTAAACTCAACTTTTGTTTTTCGGTAATTTACCACCTTGAAATTATTTCATAGATAAAGCAGAGTAGAAAGAAATAATGGCTAGATAAAAAAAAACGGTATTCTAGGGTATAAGAGCAATTCAATGGAATAGCTAAATAGATACGCAAGAGAAAGGTAGGCCCAGAAGAAATGGGCGAGAAATTCCAATCTGGCACCTGAAACGGCATTAGAATAAGGGAAGAATAAGAAGAATAAGAAAAAGAAGATGATAACAAAAATTAAATTGTATCGACGGTTATTTATTTATTATTTATTTATTTATTTATTTATTAATAAAACTCAAACAGGCCTTACGGCCTTTTTACATGAGTAGTACAATACATAATATACATAATAATATATAATATAATCATACATATGACATTATGACACTTTACATTTTTACTTGTATGAATGGGTTTGAATATCAAGACTACAAAGCTTCACAACAATCAGCGGAAATAGCATACATATTTAAATACTTAAAACATTAAGGTACTCATTAAGATTTCTTTGATACTGTTTGTAACTCACATGCCAGTCAAAGTTACACAAAGAATTAAAATTATTTGCGAGTGGAAGTACAAATGAAAGAGGAGATTTTAGGGTACTATTGGATATATTGAATATAAAGGGAGACCTAGTGCGCCTAGGAGGAACATTAAATGGTATGAGTAGCAGTAATTCATTTGAGTTTACTTGGTTATTTAACATTTTGTATAAAAATGTCATCATAAACTGTTTCCGTCTATTAATTTTTGTAGTAAAGATACCTAAGAAATTTGTTTTGAATTTTTTCCAATTTATCTAAGTAAATTTGGGGTTGTTGACCCCAAATAATCGAGGCATATTCTAATTTTGTCCTAACTAGTGAGTATTAAAGATATTTTATAGTATTTAGATTAGAAAAAGCTTGAGTTTGTCTAATAATGAACCCTAATATACGGTTAGCACTAAGAGCAATTTTATTTATATGCGAACCAAACGAAAATTGATTGTGATAGCTTACACCGAGGTCTTTAATTTCGGATCGTCTAGTTAAAATTTGTTGGTCCATCTTATAGTCAAATATAATAACATTGTCTCTCTTACGGTCAATTGTAAGTATAAAGCATGATAATGATGACAAAACTTCTCACTTCTGAAATATACAAGCTAGATTCACTTTTAAAAAACTTACCATATTTATTATGTTTAGTGACATCAGCGCCAAGCTCTAATAATATTTTAACAGTGCTGATTCGTCCATTTCTACATGCCATCATCATGGGAGTCCACCCTAAGTAATTTTGCACATCTAATTTCTGATTTTTGATTAACTTTTTCGCGAAATCTTCGTCTTTACCTCTGGCGGCGGAATAGTGCAAAATCGTATTTTGATCGTTATCCAGTATAGTTGTGTATGGATTAGGCTTAATAACTATTTGATTTGATGGTGGTTTTTCGGATTCGTCAGCCATATCGTTACTGAAAATTAGTAATGTGCTATTCAAGTTATTCCATGTTTTTTAAATAACTAGATCCAATCAATTGAGTGAAACACGATAAAAATACAACTAAAAATTACTAAATATCTATAATTTTAATGTAAAATAATCTACTCACCAGATAAAATTAAAATTAACTTAAGACATTCACGAAACAAAAATAATACAAACGATAAAATGGTAAACGGTTGATTTTATACATACTTTTTCTACAATTTTTTTAAACCAAACTTTTTTAAAAATTATACGCTCTATAATGTTAAGGTCTGAACACACATAAAAACCGTAATACATACTTACTAGGCGAACAGAAGCGAACGAATAGAAGCTCATGTATGTGTTCGGCTAGGGTGTACCGAGAAACCCAAAATGTTAAAAATAAACCATTCATACAATAATATTTATTTTTATAATTCAAATTAAAAGTTAGTCATTTGAAAATTGACGGAATTCATTACTTGATTTTGCCTTCCTGTTTTGTAACTTGTCTTTCAACAAATCAAACTACAGATATTATTAAAACTAGAACAAAGTACAAAAATAATAATATAAAGAGCCCTAAATAAAAAAACTATACGAACCGCAGCAAAATATTTTCTGTCACCTAGATTTTTCATTCTGTTACATCACGCCCTCGTTCATAGCATGCTGATGAGGCCACCGTTTCAGTCTACCATCCGTGGGACCATACCTTTAGTATTTAAACATTTTAAATTACAATCTGATTAAGGGTCACTGCAATAATTTGTATGTGGATTAATTAAGGAACAATTGATGCTCATGACGAAAAATAGATGTAGTTATTTAAAAAACAGATTTTGATCTAGAATTCCAAGGATATTCCGTTAAGAATATACCTGAATATGCAGAAAAAAACTTTTTATTTTTGGTTGACCCGTAGTGTTAGTGCACAGTAATCAAATTACGACTGTCCAGAAGACTTGAAAGAACTAAGTAGTCAATTTAAAGTGACCTTAGCCTGGGTACCAAGCCATGAATGATACAAGGGCAATGAAAAAACTTTAGACTGGGTAATAAAGAGAGGACGCGTAACAAGTATATCGAGCACACGTAGTATTCTGTGCCGATTATCTATTGGCCGCCATTATTTTGGTGCTAAGCATTTCGGTGGCACCAAAGTTTTTGTTCGTGTTTATTTCTGATTTTTGAATTAAACGACATTTAATAAATTGGTTTATTACAATGTTTTATTGTGTGGCATATCAGTGCAGTGTTGCCAGACGTAGCGGAATTCCGCTATTCATAGCGGAATTTTATCAAGGTAGCGGCATAGCGGCGGTAGCTCAAAATACCTAAAAACGTAGCGGAATTTGAAATGAAATCTGACACAGTACAAAAAATAAAAAATGTTGTAGAAATTGTATAAACATTATTTGTAACGTTTATTACAAAGACGAGTTCAGTCAAGTAACAAAAAAAAAATAGATAACTTTTATGGTAGCGACATCCTGTATCTTTTTTGATATCGTTAAGATGAAATTAGGTTAAAATCCGTGTTAAGATTTGATTTATTCTTTTTAATTTTTCGTCATTCCACCGATTCACTTGTAACAAAAATGTTAAAATAAACCAATAAACTCATACCCACTTTGGTTTTGTGAACATAAAACAAGCAAAATGTGACATATGACATGTTATATGACAAGCGACAGTAGCGCGTAGCGGAATTTTTCAATTTTTGTAGCGGATTTTTTCATTGACACCCTGGCAACACTGTATCAGTGTTAAAGTTATAGCGGCAAGAAATAAGCAGATATTACGCTTTACAGGTAAATGATAAACATCAATCGTTTTTACTTTATATAGGGTGTAACAAAATAAGTGTAAAACATTTAAGGGGGTGATTCCTCATCGAAAAAAAGATAGGATCTTTCATATAAAGAAACTTCATTGGAGCATCCCTTGTTAAGATACGGCCCCTTAAAGGGGGTACATAAAATTGGTTTAACAATTTTTTTCACAAGCACTAAACAAGTTACAATATTGAAACTAACCTGATATTTTCTACTACCAAAAAGACACTTAGCCAGTAATTTAATTGGTTTACCGCATGGTTGTAAGGGGTGGAAAACGCAACCCCTAAAATTTCGTTCCAACGTAACCAGTTCGCAGCAAAAAATTATTTTACGAACAAGATAGATATCGCCATAAAACGAAAATACCTACGAAACTAATTTATCTAGTAGGCCGCTATTAGCGATACTGACAATTACATTGAAATCAAGCTGTCAGTTTGTAAATTTTTGAAATTGAAGTAATACTAACTGTGTATTGTTGTTCTGTTCGAAATGTGTTACTTTAATAATAATTTTATGTATCCCCTTTAAGAGGCTGTATCTTAACAAGGGATGCTCCAATGAAGTTTCTTTATATGAAAGATCCTATCTTTTTTTCGATGAGGAATCGCTCCCTTAAATGTTTTACACTTATTTAGTTAGTATATTTTCTTATATTTTTGATTTTATTTGGTGTTATACAACTTGGTATTTACATAATGTAAATGTCTTATTACATAGTAATAAATTTTACCCACAAAGTTTGTTTATTTTATGCTTTTCATTAATATTTAAACAATTAATGATATTAAAATGGCCAAACATGTAATTTTTTCCAGTGGCGTGTCGTACAATTCTAAATATTTACTTTTATTAAATCCTAATTTACTTTTGTTTCTTATTTAATTGCAGCAATGTATATTTGTTGTTTTATTTTAGATTTCCTGTGGATCCAGCAAAAAAATCTTTGGATTCAGGCAAAGAAAATTGCAAATTGGATGCCTACGCCAAATGATAGATAGTTTTCAAAACATTTTGAAAGACGGATGGACTGAAAAAGACGTTTACTAAGTGGAGCAGTTCCCACTATATTTCCTGAATTCTCTAAATACATTCAGCCGAAGAAGGTGCGTATAATAATATAATAATACTCTCCCTAATTCACCCCCTTACGAGTGAATTTCAACCCCTGAAGTCGACTGAACGACTTGTGTAGGGGAAGGGATGGCTATTATTATTATTTGCCGTGGCGCTCCGGGGCGACTTAAAGATGATTGATGGTGCCATTTGACTTACAGGTGAGGAAAACCCGGAAAACCTCACCCACCATCATCGGTACTAATAAACATAATTAAACATATATATTTTTTTAATTACTTATCATTATTATGTTATGAACTTTTAAGAATTTAGCAACCCTTTTGTGTATAATTCAAAACATTACCGTAATAATTGATTGTTTGTAGTACTTAAAAAGCAGAGCATTGCATTTGAAAGCTGAGCCAAAACCTTCAAATAGAACTTCAAATAAGGAATATATCCTAGAAAGCCCTAGCATAAAACGGCTTAGAAGACAACTTTTACAACAGGTAGAAGAGAATAAAGAAAAAACAAGACAAATCAAAGTTCTTAAACAAAAACTTAAAAAATATAAAAAAGAGTTGTTCGCTAAAACTTCTTGTTATTGTACCAAATAAGTATTATTTAAGGGTCGGTAATAAATTTATCTTCATTTATGTATAATTTTTCTTACTAGCTTAATTTAATAATATTCAGATAGCACACTACATCTTAAAGACGTCCTACTTTCGTCCAAACATCCTGGTACGTAAAATGGACGGTTTTAAGACGCCCTGCTCAGGACATGTTTAAAATGTCTTTGTTGGGATGTTTTTAGGACGTTTTAAATATGTCGGTAATGTGGACGTTCAACTCTTTTCGCTATATTTGAATATGGCGCCACGACAGCGTTCTTGGCGCTGCCTTCAGCGCATGTAGGTCGTCATTCGTCATTGTCATTAGCTGATTGGAGTCTCGCGCGCGCGTATCGAGTCGTGTTCTTCCTCTAGCTGCCTTCTTCTCGGGACAACCATTGTATTATATTTTTGCGCCAGTCTGTGGACATTGTCATTACGTTTTCGAGGTTGCGTGTTTTTATATGTCTTTTTATATTATTTATTTGCCATTATTGGAACTGTGGTATACCGGAACTAGTAAACTTTATCATTAAAAACGGCAAGTTTTAATTTATTTGCCTTTTAATTTCATAACCTCACTTTTATAATGTCTTATTTTTTAGAAAAACGCCTTAAAACAATAACTCAACAAAATTATATGCTACGGAGACATTAGTTACAGACGCTTTGGCTAAAATTAATACAATAAAAAAAAAATTTAATCGGCTAAACTGGAATAGTTTCTCATAGTAACAAGTATTTGAAGTCATTTTTTAATTATTTTATCCAACACTGTAAAATAATATTTATGCTGTGTCAGATTTAATAGTTTAATAATGTATAATAAACAGTATTAAATATTAGTAGACAAGTATTCATTTATTTTAACATAAATAGACGACTTAAACACGTCCAATACGGTTTGTTTTAAAGAGGTATAAAACTGGATGTCTTAAAGACGTACAAAATTAGATTTCCTAAAGATGCCTTGTTTTGTAACAAAGTACGTCCTATAGACGCCTTTAAAACATCTTTTAGATATTAGCGTAATCTTCAAAACGTCACGAACGTCGTGAACAAACGTATTTAAGATGTTTTTAAAACGTGTCTGTGCTATCTGGGTAGTGTCATTCTTTATTAAGTAAAAATAAATCTTTTTGTGATACATGTAGATCATTATGTATTATTTTGCGGAACTAAAAAAAACACTCCCAGACAGCACACGACGTCCATTTTGGATGACCATTGGACATCCAGGACATTATTTGGACAACATACGGACGTCCAATGGATGTCGTGTGCTGTCTGGGCTCATTTCATTATGTAAACGATTTCATTCAGTTTATTTCTATATATTTTTTTTCTTGTGTCTTATTTATTGTTACTTATTTATTTTAAATTTTTTGCTTTGAACTTGCTTTATACCTAAAAAGAATGAAGTCTAATAACATAAATACAAGTTCGTTTTTTTATTTCCAACATGTTACGCTTTTGGTCAAATATCGTTGGTGTCAGAATGGAACAAGATTTTCAGCGACGTTATGAGTCCTCTCTTTAATACCTAGTCTAAGGCTGTAGGTATACCTATACCTTGGGTTACCAGTAGGGTTGACAGACGTCACGCTTTAGGCATATGTTCCACGATTTTTGACTTGCTTGTACGCTCAACGCGCCACAGTACTAAATGTCCCGCTTTTGACAAAAATGCCACTCGTAACTGCCACGCTTTTTAATATTTAAAGCCCCTAAATATAAAGGATTTATAGAAAAATAGAAAACTAGAAAAATATAAGGTAAAGACCTTTTTTTAGATAAATACCGACATGGAAGCTGAGCACCATTTTTTTTATAAATTTCACAAATACTGGACCTGATTATATAAAAATCACGCTTTTCACTTTCGTAAATTTGGCAGCCCTAGTTACCGGACGTCTGGATTTACCCGGACATGTACGGGTTTTTACTACCTCTGGGTGTGTCCGGGCGGATTTTTCAAGTGTCCGGGTTTTAAAGTAGTTGCTTTTGAACAAAATAATAGACTAGATCAGAAAAATATCGTCATTAAAAAATGGTCCAGTGTAAAACCCCCCTTTGCGATCAAAATCAATGGAAACGGCGCGGCGGCGCGATGAAATAATTTTTTTTTTGTTTTTGTTTTTGTTTTTGTTTTGTTAGTAAAATGAAATTAGTAATAACATGGGTATGTCATTAAATAACTAAATAAAGTGAATAAAATATCACCTTTCTTATTTTTTCATAAGAAATATTTTTATTAACTTGTTCTAGCTGAAGAAGCTTTCATCTCATAACCAACCCTACATCTATACCTAATAATAAATTCACAGGCCAATTCCACCCTTCTTATCTCATTCCCTAATAATTCATCCTTGAAAAGGGTCCAGCCATTGTTAAATTTTAAATTAATATCCTTATAAATAAATTATGATTCATATACTTTCCTTCTGCCTTCTGTACATAGACAGGAAAGAATTAAAAGTCATTGTATAAAAAAATATTCCTCGCGCGACATCTCTTATTGCTTACTCGTATCAAAAGTATGCGGTTATAGTTTTCTATAGCAGTATACGCTTTCGACCATTAGATGACGATGTTTCCATCATTATTTCGTATAATCTCCGTAAACAATCAAGCCGTATCTGTATCTAAATAACTTTCATTAATAGAGTTGGGAACGACTTTAAAAAAACTATAATGTTAAATTTGAAAATCAATTAATTTGGTATGTTAGTTGGGGTCCGTATATCCCAATAGAGAATATCGAGCATTTTTTTGTACACATAATAGGATTTTCACACTAAACAACCTTATAATATTAATTAAGTAGATGAATTATTCAGTATTTCTTTTGGCCGAAACAAGTGTGTATACACCTATTGGAATCTTAAGCTTGACATTACCGTGATGTATAGGGAGGTGGTATACGTCAAACCCAGTCGGAAGACTTCAAGAATTTCGCGCTAATGTTTATTCGCCATTGTCGTATCATATAATAAAACTAATACCAAACATTTTAAATTATTGCCGGCGGAATCAGCAAGAAGTATCTATTTGTGGGCTACAAATAATTATTTAAACAAGTAATTATATCCCAAATTATAATTCTACAAAATTTCAACGGCTATTCAAATTTTTTTTAAATATTTACTCGACATTGTTATTAGGCATCTATACAATAATTTTCTATGCCAATGTTCCGCGTTCACTTCGGTTAACTCCGCGGCAAAACTATCAAATCCTGTGTATGAAGTGGGAGAATTGGTAAAAGCCTTCCCAACTTCTGTCCCTGCTATATAGATATTTATTAAATGTATTTTATTGAATTATTTATCTTGTATGATTTTATTGAATAAAGCATATTATTATAAATAAAATTAATTTGTTGTGCATTAATTTTAGACGATTCATTCATAGCGTAGCTTACATCATACCTATGAATTGATATTGCGGGTAAAAGATGGGGATATAACACACTGCAATGTATGTATACAGAGGATTACTGAGACCAATCGTTATTTACAGGGCTATAGGGACCGTGCGTGAAATATAGAGGCCGCACTACTGCCGTAGTTATCCCTCTCTAGTGTTCAATTTTAGAATTAAATGGGGTAAACATTGCAAGTAAAAAATAAAGGATATTTTTTAAAATATTAAATATAGTTAAATATAGATACCGGCCGCTAACAAACAATCGTGTACATGGTCAAAATTATATAAAATGAAAAATTATTAAAATCTGTACATGTATATACATTTTGAGCAAAAAGATTTAAATGATTAAGTGACAATAAATTGTAAAGTTGTACCTCAAGCAAGTGTATCCAATGTCAAAATATCGGTATTTAGTAACACTGAATTTAAAATTATTACAATAACATTTTAAAAATGTAAATTAATAAAAAAAGATTGAGAATAATAATAATAATAATAAGAAGCTTTGTTAGTCGAAATGTCATTCATGCATCCACCTTAGACGTTTATGAGTCGCCCAATGCTATACATAATTATACAGATTGCTCACTCATCTATAAAAAAGATTAGGAAAAGCGGGTTGCAATGTGAAGTGCTAGATTGCCTTTCCTAGTGCCCACGAAATATAGCGTGCTAGCCCAAATGTGTTTTAAAATCAAATTACTTAAGACACGTTATTATGTATTTTGAGAGTTGAGTTTCCATGTAGTTAAATAATATTAAGAGATCTAAACAATTTTTATAAGGATAAATGTAAATAATTTTAGACCACTCTTATTTCAGAAATAACACTATATAAAACACATAATTACAACATGCAATACAACTTTGTAAAGGTAATGTAAACAATTTTAATATGAGATATAAACAACTTTTGTAAGAGTTGTAATTGGACATTTATCTATTATTCTGAGTAATGTTTAATAGTAATGTTACTAAAAATTTTACAAAAAATCACTGGATTTTTAATATTTAAAAATTTGTTGCAATCTCTTTTGACAGTAATTGCAATGTATTAATTATGATTTGTTTATTTTAGTGATAAATGAAAAATAGTTAACAAATTTTATGATATGTTTGTCAAATTGGACATTCTAATTTCACAGTAACATTCTACATTAGTTTCAATTAACAGAATAAAACCATTAAATATCTGTAAAATTATATTTATATAAAATGTTTATTTAAATATGTAAAAATCTTAATGACAAAAAACAGTAAAGATTCTAATTTCATAAACCGGTTCTGTAAATGATTTGTTTACAACTAAGTGCTCAAAATTGATACAAGATAGATAAAAAGAAAACTTTGCCTAGTGAAATACGCTTTTCGTCGTCTGATTTACATATGGATAATCAATCTACGTAATTATGTATATCGTTGGGTGTGAGACACGAAGTGTGTTCTGTGGAAATTTATAAAATTTCTTTACTACCGAATCAAATTCAGGTCTCCAAAGCGATATATTTGTACATCCACCATCCACGGATGCAACAAGTTTTTTCGATAATGATATTACGAAAATAATTCGACTTTATTTAATTAATAATCACTAAACAGTAAATGCCGTATAAAACATTAATAAATCTCCCCCGAAAAGTGCATATTTTTGTCACCAGTTGGCGTTATAGTCATGACGCACGGTCCCTATAGCCTGGATTAACAGAACTGGTTTAGCTACTACGAGAGCTAATATCTCAAAAATCTTGTATTTGCATCACCGGTGCAATAAGAACCTGTACTACGGCCGTAATGGAGGTGATCTTAAACCTCACCCCTCTAGATTTAATGATAGAGAATGTGGCAAAAAGAATATGATATAGAATGATCAAAAACGGAGTAATCAGATGAAAGTCTACTAGCTTCAGGACCGAAGATACTTGGTGGATATTGTAGGTAGCAGGAAATCAATACGCAGAATATCAGGATCTGAGTAAAATAATTTTATTTTAAATTATAAAAAAGCGTTATATAAAAATTGTTGTGTCAAATAAGGTACGTCTTGTATTTCGAAATCAGTATCCATCAATTTTTTTGTTTCCTTTTTCCATGGTTACCATTCATCGGATAAGTAGGGTGCTAGTGTACGCAGCTATCGACCAAGATCATAATATATGTGATATTGTAATGGTACCATCTGACATTGACACTTGACCAACCTCAAATAAAAACTGACTAAGAAACCTTAAAATAAATTGACGTAAAAGTCAAAACTAAAGGTAAGACTATGTGGTGCTATGATGTCGCCACAAGTATAAAATAAATTTATTAATTCCAGTGGCGTCTCAGGGGTTTACCTACTTGATACTTATAGATAAAATTGTGGTCCGGCCCTGTTTTTTTGACAATTAAAATTTTTTTTTAGATTAAGCGGTTAATAATGTAACTTTCTCGCCTCTTGAGCTTTACTCGTATCTAGCTTTGTTTCCAAGAAAAAAAAATCAAAATCTGATCCTGGCCCTATGAAAACAAGTAAAAAATTAATTACTAAATGATGGACATTGTCGCCAAATAGATCTGTCTTAATTTATATTTATGTTATGAAATTTCATATAATATTTAGTCCAGTAGCGTCTCAAAGTGTGATTTTATTTAATTAATAATTGTTAAAAAAAAACAGCTTTTCTTAAAAAACTTTTGACATGTATGTAGAAAACGAAGCAAGTTAGGACATACGATTATATGAAAATTTTTTTCTTATTTTTGGCCGTTAAATACACTCTTAAAATCTTTGCACTCAATTATGAATCACCCTGTATATGTCAAGTAACATATTAAATTAAAATTTGTGATTAAATGTTTTTCAGAAATTCGTGTTTTTAGCATTTTTTTTTTTAGAAACTACTGTATACGTCGTCCCTAATCTGTGGCAAATCTACGTGTTTTTGGAAATTATGCAATATTCCATAATTGTGAAAGTTTTAAATAGACACCCACTAAAGTAGAACTACTGTAAAAAAATGTGTTTGTATCAAATCAAAACATATGTTTTTATTTAATTCAGGTAACAGGAACGTTATCGCCCAACTCTAATTCAATGCGCATGGCAAAAATACAAAAATCAGCGACTTGAAGGTGTTCCTATGACTTTTGACGTAGTTTGTTTACATTCGCTTGATTCGCATCTTCGTTTGTTGGTGTCTGTCAGTTCGTCTGTTCGTTTCGTATTGTTTTCGGCGGGTAATAAAAACTAGGTATACAAAGTTAACATAAATAATGTCTACTAAGAACAATCATGTCTGTGGGTTGGGGTTGGTGTTTACGCTTTTATTAGGTAAGGTAGAACTTTACTTTCTAATGTTGTTTTTAAATATTGCATACATAATTTTAACCTTACTTTTGTGACGTTTGTATGTTGTATAGTTTTGTTTGGAAACATCTGTTTCAATTTATGACAGTTCTATTTTCGTTAATTCTTGTTTCTATAAATTGGAAGGCAACTAAAATAATATGTAACTAGCCAAAAATACATTAACTAATAATAATTGGCAAAACTAATGAAGGTCATTTTAATAATTATTTTTATAATTATTAGAAGGACCAAATTAAGTTTTCGACATGCATAGGCAACTCGCGTAATGTGCCTAATTTATTTACAGTTGATTGAAAACATGTGAGAAAGTGCTTAAGAATTTTTAAAGAGCTTTTTTTTATTTGCACTCATTCATCTGTGAAAAGCATATGTTTAGTTATACTGTGATGTGGACAAGTTAAAATGGAATAATTTGTTACTTTACACATTCACATTGGAAATACCGACATTAAATAAATATATCTAAGAATAAAAAAATCCTGAAATAGGAAGAATTTAATTTTTTCCAAATGATGTATTTGACAGTAATGATGAATAGGTATTACCACATACAAGTTATGACTATCAAACTATAATAAATGACATGTCAGGTGAATCCTTAAAAATAAATCTAAAGGATCGAGATCCAGCGATCTTGGTGGCCGTTTAATGGCTCCTAGGCATAGAAATAATATAGAAGACCAATATAAACATAACATTTAAGCAGAAATTGAAACCTACTGTGTATAAAAACGCGTCTCTGCGCCTGACATCGCAAAATAGTGTGTCTAGAAGCTTGCGCAATATGCATGACTTGTCCCTGTAGTGTTGCCAAATATATTAAACATACCTAACAGAAAAGAATTTTAAATTAATTAATTTTTAAATGATATAATTTAAACAGTTTATATATACGAAATATCGCCACAAAATAACTTATAAACATTTAAATAATCAACTAATAATATTTATGTGTAATTACATTCCCAAAAATATATACAATTACCGTATTAATGTCATTAATACCGTATTTTTAATGTTCAATAAGCGATTCACCTACAAATTCAATATTGACCTGGCAATAGCACTAAAATCCGGTGTTTCAAGGCTATATGACGCTGCCCTTACAGGACCGTTTGTAGTTTAATATTTATGCCGCGTTTGAGAATCCACATCGGATGCATCTGAGATGTAGTAAGTAGTAAATCTTTGATCACGTGATTCAGTATACGTAAATGTAATGGGACAGATGTGTCCGATGTGGATAAAAAACGCTCGAGATGTAAAAAATGCATCCGATGTGGATTCTCAAACGCGGCATTAATTACACGATGAAAGTGGCTTTTTATTTTTAGTTTTGTGTAGTGTAGTGTTTAGTCAAATCCTAGGCACAATAAAAGACAATTTTACATTGGCTAATGAAAATGTAATCAATGTATTAGGCAGCTGTTATATTTATTACAAGATTTATGTCTGCAAATCTAAACCTACCTAAGAATTATAATTATGTAAATAGAGAGCTGTATATTTATATACAGGCTGCCCAGCGACGGGGAGACATTATCGATATCGGTTTTAAGGCATTTTAAAACATAAACCCGATCTCAACAATCTTAGGAACTCTTCTGTCACTCGATATTTTAATCGGTACTTCCTCTTCGCTTTTTGGCTGGCACAACAATTATTTACATTTCTTCATTCCTTACCGCGTTCGAACCAGTAAGGTTTAAAGAAATTTAAAAAAAAACCTACTTTAAAAATAAAGATGTTAATGATTTTCTTATGGATCCCATCTTCAGATCTTGACTTAATGTATATAAAACTGTTTCCTTTTCTAACAAAAAGAATCCTAGAAATCGGGCAACGTGGTAAAGAATTATCGCTCAACATACATAAAAAAATATTTCAACGAATTGAGAATATCCTACCATTTTGAAGTATGAAAAAAAAAATTGTTAATAGTGAAAAGTAGGGCATGAACATATATTATAAAGTATATAAAATGATAGATAAATCCAGTTTAGAAGGTATTATAAATAAACTGTGGAAATATCGAGAATCTCGATTTTGAATCGGAAAAATATTCTACGCAATTTAGTATGAAAGCTGATCAAAATGAAACACATGAACGACAAACTGTTATTGACAACTTTCTTCAAACGTTTTCTATTTTTCCGAAAACTAACTAGATGGTTCGAAAATCATTTCCTTCGTTAAAACGCCTCTTGTTCCGAAAAAGGTACACGCCTGTCAACATTCATCGTTCATTAAAAAAGTGGTAGATACAAAACGCTTCGTATTGTAAGGCCAAAATATATTTAGAAATCGAAATAGTCATATAAACAAAAAAATCATATGAGTGAGATAACTACCAAATTAATGATTTACAAGTTTATTCCTATTATTTATAAAATAGGTTTGCAATGTGCTGGTGTGGAATGTTATCATCGACTAAAAACTTTAAATCTTTGTATTAAATTGATCGAAGACAAACTATAAATTGGTTTAGGCTATATAGAATGTTTCTAGTAAGCAGCAACTAATTTTTATTATGGAACCGAAAGACCCTTTTAAAAGGGTTCAAAATTAAAATAAAATATGTACCAAGTAAATGTAGTAGTATTTTTTAATTTATATTGAAAATGGTAACATGAAAGGTTTTCTGTCTAACGACTCATAGTCTCGGCTGACAAAATGTAAAAAAATATCGAACATAATATTCCTGGGCCCTATTTTGCACTCCCCAGATTAAATTTAGTTGTAGCAAATTATATTATCAAATAAGATGTCAAATCACAAGCAAAATCTCGTGACTACAGTACTAATGATTGCCTGTTTGGAAAAGTATCTTTGTTTGTAAATATTTATCCGCCCATTATGTATATACGTTTAGTTACCGACCCTAGTAGATAGGCAATTTGTTATTGTTTTAAGTTTTACCATAGGGAGAGAGAAAATCAATATTAGGATAAATGGTCCAGCTCCTTTCTGGTTACGTAGGTACCTAAAAAGTATTTTAATTTTTGGTTAAGTAATTAATTATTGTAACAGTGATTTTCTTGTGATAGTACCTAATTTAGATTGTAGAAAAGGTTTTGTATATAATTTCGCTGTTTAATAATAAACGTAGTCAAAACCGGAGCACGTGGTTTTTCTGGAAAGTATTTTTAAAATCACAAGCAAAATCTCATGACTACTGTACTAATGATTGCCGAAAATTAACTAATTCATATTTTATGCCATATCTTTCTTAATAAGGACTGTCAGAACCATATTTACCTTAACTTGAAATTTTTTTAATCGTTTTTTGTATAGAATCATCTCTAAAAATGTATGATTGAAATATCGTGTGAACAAATATGTTCGATCAATAAAAAACTTGCACCGGTCCTGTTCGTGCCAGCACCGTTATACGCATGAGCTCCGACACACTATTTTCTCCTTATGGTTTCATTTTTGATATATGGAATCGGCTTTCTATACTATTTCTATGCTCCTAGGTGTGAAATCCATAGGACTAAAATTACTTATTCAACAAACATTAACCTTTGTCTACCCTTGAAAAAAGGACATGACATAAAAATTATAGCAAAATTTGACATTAGCACCGCAATAAAAACTTTCTATTAATTTCAAAGCTGCATTCGATTGTCCACGATTTTTCTATGTTTGTCCAACCAAAAAGTTCAATTGTCCACCCTCCAAAACAGATATTTAAAAAATTAAAATAAAATAATGTGTAAATATAGGTAGTCCTTAGGGACAACCGAAGGGACAACCTTAATACATTTCATTCGAATTAAATACGGCAATCGTTTGTCCACTCATTATTTTCGTTTATCCAAGCCTTATTTTCATTTGTCCTCCCAAAAAATTAATTATTAACAAATAAAGAACCCAAAATAAGAATAATTTATTAATGTTAATTCTTCGAGAAGCAATTTATTAAAATTAACTACTGAAATAGTTTGTCAGCACGATAACTCTAGAACGAAAGTTCTGATTGACTTGCGGTTTTGATTTTCTTGAATAATTCTAACTTAGAACCCTATTGATTTTCAGAATTTTCGGTTCATTCTAACTACTTTAATATAAATTTTCTTAAAATCCGCCTATGCATTTCTTATGTGACAATTTTAGGAATTCAAATTATTTCTAATGTCAATCCTAACATTCTTCATATTCCATAAATTGCAAACATTTTCTAACGATCTGTCAAACAACAGCTGTTGACAGTAAAGTGAAATTTCTAAGGCGGGTTGCGACCTTCATACTTGCAACCATAGCCATTTTGGAGGCTATTTTTATTTGAAATTAATCGCCAAGCCTGCCAATTTATGAAAAATATATAAGCAGTTTCTTCGAAATTACTTTTTTTGGTGGTGCTAACTTAAGCGTACTACTATTTCGCCCACAAAAACGCCTTCATCAAATTTACTGGCTCTCTGTCGCAACCCCATAGAATAATTAACCGGCAATTTTATTTGGCAAAAATCAGAATAATGCTTGGCTGTGCCTGTCAAGTATCAAGATCTCAATTGTGATGTGTGAATGGCTCTTAAATGTCAAATTATTTAAAAATGTATACTTCTTTTTATATTTATTGCAAATAATTTGTAGTGTATTTCAATTCAGGCTTTCCATAAATAAAGTTAATATAATGTTCTTATACAAAGCACTTTTTTATTATATAAAAGAGAGGTATGATATAATGCTGGTTTTTTTATAGATAATTTTAATTATACGATTTTGGATTACATATTCAACTAGCGAATTGTAAATAATAATTAGTAAACTCCTAGTCATAAATTTCCTCAATTCGTAAAATTTAAAAATTAATCTTCTTGGGATTTTAATGACGTAATGTGATCAACCAATTTCAAATTTTGATTAATTATGATACCGAGGTATTTTGTTGTTTTTAATTTTAATTATAAAGTTGTCATTTATTTGTATGTTAAGAGAAGGCCTTTGTAAATTAC